TGGGCATGCTTCAGGGTCATCTGGGCCTGGAGGAAACAAACAGACCGTTGAACAATCTTAGAAATCAACTGAAAAAGAATAAAGTACTTTCTCAACACCAAACCGTTTTAGAATCAGCTGGCCTGTGCTGAATTATTCATGCTAATAAGAAGTCTGTACTAAAAACTTACTGTCAAATATAAACAGACAACCTTGAAAATCAAACATGAAACATCCCTTCCCCAGGAGATATGATAAGGTTTGTCTTCCTCACCTGCTTGGCCTCAGTATCTGCTTTGCTCGTGTCATTCTTGCAGGTCATCATCTGCCCGGCCAGTGTGGCCTCCTCTCCGTCCTCATTGGTGGAGAGGCCAGCGGACACCGCCCTGAAGTGCTGCTCAGCTGCCTCCAGGGCTGCACCGTCCTTCTGTCCCTCGTCCTGTAGTGTCTTAAGCTGCTCCGTCCATGTAGAAACCTCCTTTTCTTTTACCACAAGCATTTTCTTGTCCTAAGGATGAGGAAAACAACAGCTGATCAAGGTCCTGGAACCTTCACTTTTGCAGTTAGCCTTTGTTGTAAGGGATGTCAACGTGCTAAAAGAAAAACAACTCAAAGGAGCAAATACAAAATATAAATTGTCCCAGTACCTCAACCATACTCTTGACAAGTTCCTTCCTCTTCTTGGTTTCGTCTGTGACATTTTGTTTTTTCAGGTCGAGTGCACTCTGAGCTTTTGCATCCACACGCTGCATGTCAGCTAGAGACTCTTCCAGGGTCTTCAATACCCCGTGCACCTCCTGCAAACAGCACATAAACATCAAATACAAAGCAATGACACAATTCTTCTGCATTAAGGTTGGATCAAAACATTAAAATACAAAAAATGCATTTTGATGAGCTCCAGATCATTTTGAACACTTCTTTCATTACAGCTAAGAGGGTCACTCGGGAGAAAGGATTCAAAAGTTCAACAAATCTACTTGGGACTAATGTTGGAAATAGAATCAGTCTACCTGGTCTCTTTTCTTCTGCAGTTCATGAATCTGGGCGGAAAGCTCCTGGACTTTGCTCTCATTCTCAGCCATGCTTGCTTGCATCTTGGTGATGTTGTCCTGCATCACCTTCAGATTCTCGGCTGACTTCACCTTTGTTTCCTCGGCACACACAAACAGCCAGGCCACGTAGAGCCGGGACAGGTGCTGGATCTCACGCATGAGCTTCTGGTACTCCAAGTATGATGATCGCTCCTGCAGAGGGAGGAAGAGTTTGAAAAAAGAAAGAAATGGTGTTAATAAAAACATATTGTTTCCTAGATAATGCAACATGTGTTACATATTGATTTTGCAGTGAACCTACCTCTTGGAGTTTGTTCATGGTTGGAGTAATTTCCTCATCCAAAATCTTAAGAGTAAAGAAAGACGAAAAGAAGATTAGGAAAAAAAAGGCTTTTTAATTTGTAATTGACATTGAAGCAGCTTCCCAGGATCCACAGAGATACATTGGTTAAAAATAAGTGTTATTTTCTGACATACTGTCTGAATCTCCTTCAGCTTGGCCTCCTTCTTCTCAATGGTTTTCTGAGCGCCAAGCTTTTTGCATTCATACATCCTGGTTCCCGCTGCCTCTTCAATCATGGCAAGGATCTGAAAGCAAAAAGGGGTTATTGGACGAGTTGAAAAAAGGCAGGTAACGTGTATGGAATAGTACAGATGGTGAGATTGTTGACAACGTGTGTATGCTTTACCTCTGGTGGCTTCATGTTTAGAACTTTGGTGATCCTTCCCTACATTATTGGAAACATCACATGATATTAAATACTGTAGAAGTGCTACAAAGTATGAACACGACCATGCTGCACAAGACTGACCTGCATGATGAGAAAATGTGGGTTGTTGACGTTGAGGCCAACAGAGCAGAACAAGTCCTGCACCCTGGTGTTGTTGGCATTGACTCCATTGATGAGGTACTTGTTCCTGCCACCAATTACCACCTTAAAAGGAAGATTTATGACAAAGTTTAAGTGTTGGAGTTGTACCCAATAACCTTGTTTAACCAATTAGAGAGCATTTTGTATCCATTTGTTTGCCAACCTGTCTGGTGATGGTGATCTCATCATGGGTTTCGAACCCCAGAGGACTCTGGCTTTTATTGGAGTTGTCAAAGGTAATAGACACAGTGGCCTTGGTGATGCCACCCTGTCCGTTCTTGTACACCAAGTCCTGGAGGTTGGAGGCTCGCACCTATCAAGTGAAAATGAAAGAAGAATTCTTGAGATTTTGTAGTAGTACATAGAGAAAAAGAAAACATTGAATTCTTACTTTTTAAATCAATATTTAAAAAGCAAACGGAGAAACACCAATATGATTTGTATATGCAATGCATACTATTTGTATACATGTGTAGTTTTTGTATGTTCTTAATCTGTGAATTTTTGTATTTACACAGTTGTGTCTTTACCCAAATATATGTTTTATGTTTGCCATTTGTGTTTGCTGTAAAGCCTAATTTATTCTCTTAAACCTTTATATGGATCAAATTGCGTGATGTACATCTTAAAATTAGGACCACAGAAATATAAAAAAAGATAGACTAGAGAGATACTTTATTTATCCCAAATTGGGAAATGATTGTCATTTTAACAGTCAATCTACAGGAATTACAAACTTAATTAAAAAAATAGAATAAAATACCAATACACAAATGTTTAAAAAACAATATATACATAGTAAAATATACACTAGAATACTCTCTAATAATATACCAATCTACCGAACATATGACAAAGTACAGTAGCTTGAAATTAAAAGTAAATCCTACTTCCGCCAAACCAAACTCTACAACAAGGCCAAGACTCAGCAACATTTAGCACAGGACTTTGAATCTGATAGCACACTTACATGGCTGAGGTTGGTGATACCCAAAAGGAAACAAATAGAGTCCAAGATGTTGGACTTCCCGCTGCCATTGAGTCCTGTGATGGCGTTGAACAGCGGGTCAAAGCCGTTGATCTCCGTCCTCTGTGCGTAGGATTTGAATCCTTCAAGAATAATAGACTTGATGTGCATCTTGAGGCTTCAGTCCTGTTCCCGCACACTCCGGAGAAAAGATTTGAGGTTCTTTGAAAACCAAATCGGTAACTTAAAAGTTGAAGCACTAGGTAAATTGCCCAGTGTTTACAACCGTCAACAGGAAAACTCGCTCCTCTCTCTTCTCACTTGAATTTTGGCGGCAGGTAAGACCCGCTAGGCTGTCCTCTTTGTGCCGGGGACGGGACGAAAACATACATAGATAATCTTTACACGCTTCGTGCACATTGTCGATGTATTAATCAATACATTCATATGACCGATTCGCAGTCTAAAAATAATATGCCAGGAACATACTTACATTTATATTTAAGTTTATTTTCGTCAGGCATATCTAAGGCTACTAAGTGTAAGTGCTCCGTGTCTTGTGTAGCAATGTTTTGGCGCCATCTGTAGGTAGTAAGCTGAACCACAGGTAGAGGAAAAAATAATAGGTTCAAATTAATAGTATTGCTTTCAACTAACCTAACACAATTATGTGGGGCCTGTTGACATAATACATTTAATTAAAGTAAATGTTTTATGTCTTACCATAATGTATAACACAGATTTATATATTAGTCATGTCTAACAATCCCAGTTTCTCGACAGAAGAAACGTGAGCAATTAATTCATATTTCTAAATATACAACTTTTAAACCTATATGATTTGTATAAAATATTTTAAACTAAACATTTTCAAATGGGCTAAAGCGATAAGATAATTTAGATAATTACAATATTTCAGCAGACCTCAAAGATTTTTGTTTTTGTTATTCTTCTTTCCTGTCCCTATAGGCCTACATTTTTATTTTCCTGAGTGCATATACACAGTTTTATAGTTTTATAATAAAATCAGGGGGTATTATAGTGTATAACTAAACCCATACTTCTTTGTGGCCCAAATGTTTTAAAGATATGGTTTGATATGGAATAAACCAGGGGTGTCCCAACTACGGCCCAGGGGCCAAATGCGGCCCTGCAGGCCATTTTGAATCGGCCCTCAGCAAATTCAAAAAGTATAATGGAGTAGGCTATGGCCCGAAAATGAAACTTGTGCTTGTCTTGTATTGTACTAGATGAAAACAGATATTACACAGTATTCATGTGTTAAGAAGCCCACTCTTCAAACAAATTCAGTCAATTAAAGTTGAAAACATTTTCTATCAAATCTAAGTTGATAAGAAAAAAGCCCAATAACTTATTTTCATTACACCCTTGAAATAAACCCTTCATATTTCCTCTTATGCAATCTGAGGCTCCTGTTTTAATGAATAAGCTGCTAACAAAATTAATGAAACCCTATGGAGAGCTGTGATATAGGCTGCTGTTTTCCTTAAAGCATATTCAAGCATTAAGCATCATTTACCTACATTTGATTGATTTAGCTGACTTTTAACTTAACTTATGAGGCAGTATACCTCACGGTCCCTTCGTATATTTGCATGTGGCCCTCTGTGAAAAAGGTTTGGACGCCCCTGGAATAAGCCCTTAAATATACACAAAATGTGAGTATATTTGAATTTTAAAGAATATAATGTTCCCTCAGGATGTTAAAACTCTGAATTCCCCCCTCCTCAAGTTAGTTGCCAAACTGAAGTCATGTGGGGAAAATAGGGCACAACAACTCAGAGAAAGGTAAGAAATGTGTAGTTATTTTATTTGTTCTCAATTTGAAATGGACATTTATACAATAGCACTGAGAATAGAATACTTTCAGGGATAAGTCATGAAATTATCACAGTACAGGATTGTACTTTCGAAAAACACTTAGCGCCCTAACACTTGCATTTGCAAGTATTTGCGAGTATTGATGCAAAATATATTTCATGGTAAATAAGCCCTTTTGTTGTAACAGATTCCACAATACTACACCCATTTCACACTTCCTTCTCAACACAGGTTTTTACATACACACATACACGTTAAATGACACACAATCATTGCGTCATTCCATTATGCATCCAGAGGCACGGGACACATGGACAGACAAACCAAATTGACAGCATAGAAGCAAATCTGTGTTAGCACAACACAGTCTCCTCTGTTAGAGTAGAAGGAGGTGGGCGTGATGTAGGCCCAGTCAAAGTTCCGCAGGTTTAGTGGCTTCTGGCAGTGCTGTTCGCTGAGAGCAAACAGGGCACGCACAAACGAGTATTTGGCCGAGCAGCTGACGGCCGTCACTGTACGGACCTTGTCAAAGTGCAGCAGGAAACAGGGGTCATCCTGGAGACACAAAATGAGAAAGCATTAGCCATATGAAAAGATAAATAAAAAGCCTTCTGGTAATCTATTTTAAAACCAGAGGTAACACAATTATTTAAAAGAAAGCCGTGTTACCACAATTAAAATGAAATGTGACAAGAAACTATTGGCAAATTGACGTACATTTAAAAGGGAATGGCCTGGTAGGCAATGGAAGCATACATATGCGATAATGTTTTTGATAAACATTTCAGCAGATTTCCAGCACACTACATTTTGTAATAAAAAACTTTCCACGTCTATAAAGGCTTTCCGAGAGATGACATTAATTGATCCCCAGCTGGGAAGCTTGAAACCATATGGACTTTGAGTTAAGATGTGTTTAATCAAGTCCAAATAACATTTTACAAATTAAGATAATTGGTGGTTGTGCATATAAAAGTTTTATGATTATATATAGTAATCATTTGTATAGAAAACAATGGTAGATAATGCAGAAATTAGCAATGAAAAGCACATGTGATCAAATTGTTAATTACCACATCAGCATCGCGTCCGTCAACAAGAATCAGGTCCTGCAGGGACCAAACCTCCGCCTTCCTGTAGCACTCCTGTATGCTGGAGCGTTCGGTGTGGGACCCTTTGGATCCAGATTTCATGGCCGTCTGAGATATCTGACATCGCACTATACATAACTGCACTAATTTATTTTTAGCAACTGCAAAAAGTAAAACAACAAAGGTTTTTGTTGGTATTTTTGCACATAAATAGGCACACTGCAGCACCAGACAGTCCATCTGCAGCAAAAGTATAACCTTGACTTCTCAGGCCTCATAGGCCAGGCAAAGTACACATTCAGTACATTTCCCTACAGATTATCTACAGCAAGATAATGGTCTGTAACCTGTAACAGAACATTCCACTCAGCATGGTTGACACTTAAAAATGCTTTCATAAGAGAACCTGTTAAAAAGCTTTTTACCTGAGACACAAAGAAAATGTCTTCCGTGTGTTGGCTCTTCAATCTCAATATACTCCACCAGTGACTGTTTTGAAGGTCGGAATAAAACTCTCTGCATCTCCTCCCTCAGAAGAGACGACATCACTGGAAAGAGGATCAGATGGTGAGAAAAAGCTCAAAACAGAAGCAATAAGCAGGAAAGACACAAGAGAGATGAGAAATTCAAGAGATCACTGAAACCTGGCAGTGGTGGGATGGGAGGCGCTTTCCTCTTGTCAGACCACGTGAAAAGTATGTGGTTATGTGTGAAATGAGCTCCCTCTCACACACACACTCCAGTGTGGGGCGTTCCATTTTTGATGGTATATATGTTGATGTTTCATTAAAGTACTGCCTTCATAACAACTCGCCCAGAAGGGATTTATTAGAAAGGTTGGAATCAAAGGCCAATCGCTTCATCATTTCATCCTTTTATTGCTTCAATTAAGATCCATTAAGAAGATGATCCTGATGTTTCCTGCAAATATGGATTTTAGTCCTGAAATTGTGTTTACTTATAGTCATAAAGACACAAACAGTACTTTATCCTGGTATTATGTAGTTATAGTCTTCCTCACAACACATATACGGTCTCTTTCTTTCCGTCTCTCTGTCTCCACTCACTCACATATAGATGTTGATATATAATGTGGCAAAGCGCCCAATGTTTGTCTGTGATTAAATGTTGTTGTGTGGGAAAAGGATGTCCCACAGCACTCTGCATGGTTTCCATTACCAATTCAATCTCTGAGAACAGGTACAAGTGGGGTAAAGCACTTAAATGGAAGGATTTTACAAGCACACAAAGTATACTTCTTTAGGGACCATGGCTCCATTAAAATATATGCTAAAGTAGATGCACTGCTAAAAAGAACAGAATAGTACAGAGAGGAAAACAAATCAGTTCAGTTTGTGAGAGGCGGATTGAAACAATGTGGGAATACTTTTCCATAAACAAACCTCATAATGAACCAGACCAAAGCTCTGATTTGATTTGTTTGAAAGAAAAAGTGTGGGTCCATTGGATTTGTCACATTTGTGAAAACAAAGATGGGTTGCTCCATAGCTAAGTGCGTTATTGTTGTTGTTGTTGATGGTTTCTGCGGGTGTTCATTGGAAAGGCTTTATGCCTCTGAGATGGAAAGATGAGCGGAGGAGCAGGAAGTAAGTAGCAGAGGAAATATACAAGTGTTGAATCTCATGAATAACACATGAGGTTTATTGTACTTATTCAATCTTCAACCCCAGCATGTTGTTCATGAGCATTAAAAGGATTCTCATTTACAAGAGTTGGAGGAATCCCAAAATAGGCAAGGCTTCAATATGTCTGTATTTGTTAGACAGTAGTGTGCTTGTCATAAAGCATTCCCATAATCCCTGACTTTGTTTAGACCTGCAGGAGAGTAGCTATAAACCAAACATACAGCAATTATAATACATAAGGCTATATGGGAGGGGGTTAGAAAGAGAAGGACGTGTGATTTGAAAATGATTAAGAGGAGGTGTATCAGTCAGAGAACCTGGCAGCAAGGATGACATTAAGATCTGAGTAACACTGTAAGGATGGATAACATTGGGGAAGAAAGAAGAGGATGAAATTATGAAGAATAAAGAAAGGGAAGAAGTATTCAAAAATGATCAAGAAACAGGAACACCAGAAAGGATGGAGAGCAATGACACGGCAATGGGGAAAAGGAGAAGGAAGAAAACATTAAGGATCGTCAAAAAAAAGAAGGAATAAATATGAATAACAGGAAGCGGTGCTGAGTGCAGGGGTTGTGGAAAAAAGATAAGAAAAGGGGGCCAGTCGTTAACGGCTAATCCGAACAAATCCAAAGAGAACTGAAAATGATGACAGAGAAAAGAGGAAAAGCGAGGGGGCAGGCTGAGTTCACAGAGAGGAAGGAAATGGGGGGAGGGAGATAATCTACAAAGGTGTGGAGGAATTATGGGTCCATGCAGGAGTAAAGACTGAATGAGGATGGCACTGTTATACATTAAACTCAAGGAGAATAACACCAGTGTGATTTCGGTGAGATTATGAAAATGGTGGTCCAAAATTACAGAGGGGGTGCCAAAGCACCAGCTCTGACACATTTAGAAGCACTCGTTTAATTGTATACACCAAGAATCCAAAGTAAAAGGATTTTGTTTGCTTAAACTAAAGGAAATAACTAACACTAGTGTGATTTCGGTAAGATTATGACCACATGGTCAAAAGCTACAGAGGCGATGCCAAATCCGGCAGGACCAACAGCTATCCCATCATCATTTTGGATTGCTCACTTGGAAAATTCCTAAAAAAGGACATTTCTGTAATAGCTTTACCTTTCACAAGAAAAGATAACAATGTTTTCCTAAATGCAGTCAGGAAACATGTTTATGTTGTATCCATAAACCTGGATGTTATTCTGAAGTGACAAGAAATAATTTCAGACTTAAACGTTTCAGTAATGAAGCCTCTGAACAATATACTTAAAACGTAATGCATTAAATAGGAGCAAAGGACTCTAAATGCACTTCCACTAAAAAGAATATGAACAATTTATTAGTAGCTATTGTACTGTGGCAGATATTGATAAAGAAAAGTTGACATTACTTGTTGTAATGTGTTTTGACATCAATGTAAACACACACAAACACAAGGATTGTGGAAGTTGATTTACCCACACAGCCACACAAAACGTATAACTTTTCTGATAATGGCCTCATATCATTTAAATTGTGCTGCACTGATGTAATAAGATGTGTATCTTCTACTCTAGCAGGACTGGCACAGGTAAAAACTCCAGGTCTGTTATAGGCTGCACACATTTGGCAACAATTAAGCTATTGCTTTGGATTTAGTTTTAAGATCAGGATTTGTCTGTACCCGACCAGTCTCCTCTGTCATCTCTTTTTCAATATTTTTTATGAATTTTTGTATTTATCCAGAAATATATTGTAAACTCATTATAATCAATAATGCACTATCATTCAACAAAAATCACATCGTCGTTTGAAGAGAATGTGAAATTCACCTCTAATCCGTAGGCTAATTCATAGGAAAGGTTTCTAAAGGTCAACAGGTGCAATAATTTTAATGTCGGGGAACTACTACACAATATAACGTCACAGTCTATAGAGCTCCTGATTGGTTGTCAATGAAAGGGGAAACCCCCTGCCATCCGGAACGCAGGGCCATCCCTACCCTGCCTGCAACCTTCTGGCGACCGTCCAATGTCACATTCACAGCCAACTCGCTGTAACATGTATTTCCCGAAAAATAATACGGTGGTGTTAAATATGCATATTAGTAAAATTGTGAATATAAATAAAAACAAGGTGGCATTGAATGCATTTTAAGTAGTAGGCCTATCTATTTAAAGGAATATCCTATTCGGCATAGTATCCGCCATGCTCGCTTTAGGTGCATTCATTTGAAAGCCAGGACGCACGATCTCAATCTTCCTTTTATACATTTTCTATCATAATAAAAACTATATGGCACTGACAGTCGATTGGTCTGACTGGGAAAGCGAGAAAAACAAGCGGAGTCATTTCCCCGGTGAAGATCACTCAGCGATCTGCTGCTAGTGTACTGTGCTAAATAGTGCGCCCTACTGTCTCCATTGCGCATGACTGTACGGCGTAATATGAAGTAGGCCTCCTGTTTTTCTCCCCAACCCGGAGTCCTCCGAGCCCCCACCGACTCGATGCAACGTTCAAGTAAGCAAAACACGGAGGCTGCTGTCGATTACTCAGGAAGGTAAGCTTAATATTAAATGCATATAAAAAGCCAGCGGTAGTTATTGAATAGCACAGCCGCGGTGGTCGTTAAACGGTGTGTGTTTTAGCGGTGGGACTGCAGAGGAGGGTTAGGGACTGTTTCCGCACGCTCGAGGGAGAGTAAGGCCCAGTGACCCACATTCAGAGCAGCCAGCAGTGTCTATGTGCACGAGTGGCTGAGCGTGCGCGTCTCCGTGTGTGTGTGTGTGTGTGTGTCTGTGTGTGCCCGGGGACCGTGTATCTTCTGTGTACATTACATCTGCCGCGAAAATGTTTTCACCATCGCTGATTTTAGACATTTGTCCGCGGCCGACTGTTATGTTTTTGTCTGTTTTGGTGAGGACCTTTCCCCGCACGGTGTGTGAGGACACACGGTAACATTTTTAAAGATTATTTTGTCTTCAATGTCAGTTGTTGCGTGACAGCTTGAGGCTCGGCGGCAGCTTTGCCATGGCACAGGCTGATCATTCCTGCTGTTTATTTCACAACCTGATTTACCTGTCATAACTGTGTCATTGTGTGCGTGTGAGTCTGACGTGAGTTACGGGCTAGTAAGAGCATTACATCTCTGAGTTAAATGGTCAGTTTTCGGAGCAAGCTTAGTTAGCCTGCTAGCTAGCTTTATGGGTTGCTCTCTTTAGGTTGTATAACGAACACCTGTGGACTTAAAGGTGTATTAAAATCGTTACCGTGCATATCTGATAGCTATTTGTGCTTTAGTTGGACTGCCTTGCATGTACTACATTGTCATTAAGCGTGTTTATTCATTGACAAAGGTGTACAGTGGGCAGACTGGTCCAATGAAGGAGCTCAGTGTAATGAGGCTTCACTTATTGGCCATCAGGAACAGTGACTGTAGGTCAGACCAGTGCTCCCCCAAGTAGAGACCAGTGGTGTAAGGTAACTAAGTACATTTACTCAAGTACTGTACACTTTTGAGGTACTTGTACTTTACTTGAGTATTTCAATGTTTTGCTACTTTCTTCTTCTACCCCACACAATTAAAAAGAGGTACATTATGTACTTTTACTCCACTCGATTTATTCAATACCTTTATTTACTTTGCAGATTTTGATTAATGATGGGAAATATATACAACACTTAAATATGACTTCAGTTACACCTGGAGTAAATTCACAAGCTAGCCTGCAGCATACAAAAAAAATGAAATCATGCTCCACCTTTACCAGCTTTGATAAACACTGTAATGCATCAATAATCATAATCAAAACATATAATATATATAACTCTGAAATGGGCCGGTCTGCATAATGAGTGCTTTTACTTTTTGGACTTTAAGTATATTTTGATACCAATACTTTTCTACTTCTACTTCAGTAACATTTTCAATGCAGGACTTGTACTTGTTACTGAGCATTCATACACTCTGGCATTTCTACTTTTACTTAAGTACAACATCCCTCTGATAATTTAACAATATGCCTAAAATCTTCCACACAAATGAGTGCAATAAATAATTTAGCAGGGTGATAATGTAGGTCATTGGGTTTGACTGTCATATCTTGCAGCTAAATCTTCTTAGCTCATTGTTACACAATGTGGTATGTTGACTGATCTGGTGCCAGATATGCTTGACAAGTGCGGGAACTTAATTGTTAGCTTTTTTACCCAGACATCACAAAAGTAATCAATGTGAAGCAACAATTACAGCATTACTAGATTTGCAGATTCTGTACTTTTTCTTCATCTTATGTGATAGTAATAATATGATATTCATGAGGTGACTTCTACTTAGCAAGACATCAAACTCTTTTTAGATGCCTCTTTAGGCTGTGGTTGTCGGAGTTTCACATTTTCACAATTTGAAGACCAAATTACTGAGAAAGTAATCAGTTTTTGATTGATAAATGCTAAAAAATGTTTTTCAATTATTCAGTTATCAAGCTTCCATCAATTGTGAAGATATACTGGTTTTCTGTTTTATGGTTTTATACATAGAGGATATTTATCAAAGTTAAGTGGATATCTTGTATATTGGACTTTGGGACAGACCCCATCTTGAAACATTTTTGTTATTAAAATGAATCGACAGTTTTATAGACAAAAATGGTTACTTACAATAATAATTGGCAGATACATTGATAAACGGTTAACTACCAGGTGCTGCCCTAATCTTTTAGTAGTATGAGTATAGTTTGTTTTGGACTGTTGGTTGGCTTGGATGGTTATTCAGTAGCTAGGTCTGGGCAATATGGCAAACATATTCTCTCATGGTCATGTCAAAAGTACTTCAATGCAAAATTACTTTTTGTTGTGGAAAAAATATAAAGAGTAATAAATAGATATGGGCCTAACTCTATCTAGAGAAACAATATTTAATACATACATATAATCTTCAATTTTTTTATTTTGCTCACAATATATATCCTTTTAGGCCAATCCCTAGTTGCAGCCCTAGTTTTCTGTTTTTATCTTGCAACAACTAACATATTTACTTTGGTGGTTGGCCCTTAGAATTTGCATGCATGGTAAACAGTGAACACAGGCTGGCCCCCTGGTATGTTTGTGAATGAGTATGGTTTCTGTGTTGCAGGTGAGGTGTGGCTCACCCATGAAGTGTTGTCTGTGCCTGGCATGATAGGATCTTAATTAGCTTTTCACATTCCAGAAAGTAAGTTGAAAAACACCTTCTTAACACTTTTTCATATCTAGGTCACTGTGCTGAAAGTTTCTGAAGAACTTTGAATGTAAGCATAATAATTGATTATTCCAGGGTTTCCTCGCTGCACTGACGTTATTTGCACTTTAAAGGCTGGAATATTTTTCCATGATGTTTTGTTATTGAAAAGCTGAATTTAAGTAGTGTGGTTATGTTGGGTTGTAGTCTTTGTACGAAGGTTTTATAAACTGTACCAGAGTATTTTTCCTTTTTAGGACTTTATAGCTTACAGTGTTGAAAAGTAACATTTATTCAAGTACTGTACTAAAGTAAACATTTGAGGTCACTATATATATTGTACAGCTTAGGTTACTAGCTACTTTCCACATTAAACTATTAATACAAATATATAAATCAACTAATACATTATAACATTATTTTAGGCTGAGCTACCCAACAGTGTATAAAGTAATTCAAATAATGCACCTCTTTCTAACAGCCTAATAACATCGACATTTGTCAGCTGCAAGTGCAAAAAGTGCTGCCTTTTAATTGACCCAATAACCCTACTGCTGTGATTTGTCCTGCAGGTTTGGTTGACCACCATGTCTTTCCTGTGGTCTGTTGTCCTCTCATGACCCCAATGACCTCAACAGCAGCTTTGACCATAGAGTACGCTTTCTCTGACCCCTGAGAAAAGACATTAAGTGACCACGTGCATAAGCTGTGTTGGGGTAAGAAGTGACCACACACACACACACACACACACACACACACACACACACACACACACACACACACACACACACACACACACACACACACACACACACACACACACACACAACACACACACACACACACACACACACACTGCAGGTTGTTCATGCATCTTTTATCGCAGTTAATTTATTTATTTTAAGTTATCTGAACCCCATGTGTTCAAGCTAATACCCCATGCTGATAATTGTAATAAATGTTGGAAAATGACACTGGGTAAAAAAAACATGCAACTTGCCTGTCTATTTTCGACTCATGCTTAGATAATACTTTATTGCATATCAGCTATTGCTTTGATCAAGTTTACACAAATCTAATGGTCTCCTCTTCTAGCCTGAATAGTTACGTTTGTCAGTGTGCTATTCCGTGTGTGCAATAAGTTGCTTTCGCTTCAACACATTTGTAACTGCACTTTGGTCTGATTTAAATCTTTATTCATAAAACACAATTCAGAATATATTTAATAATTCCCAAGTGATTCTTGATTGATGAGATTTAACATTATTGCTGTACCATGTGAGCCAGAACATTTAGTCACTGATGTTTTAGTCCACTGAATTGCTATGTAAATCCTAACTGGCACCTAAGCGAATAAAATAATTGTTTTTCTGTCTCTCCAGGTGGTCTTCCAAATGCCTACCTCACGCCTAAAGAGCAAATCACTGCAGCCACAGGCCTGATCAGCAGCTACCATGACATCAAGCATAGGGTATGCTGCAACTCACAGACATTTTTTATCATAAATTACTTCCATACGCACTATACATACACAGAGTTCAAGCACATTAAGTACAACATATGTTCAGATTTAAATCTTTTTGAGTAAATTAAGCCCTTAACAGGGTTAATGATTGACAAAATGGTCCTTATTTATTATGCCATGCCTCCGAACAAAGTCACACGTATTAAATTAAAAATGAAAATATTTTTATTGACCTATTTTAGTCGAAATGTACGCAAGAACACGCCCTGTTTCACAAATGCACTCGTAATCTTTTTGGCAAGCACAACACATTCCTTCTCACTCTCTCTTTCCCTCTCTCCGTCTCTCACTCTTTTTTTTGTGACCCAAAAATAAACCTGCTGCTGGCATGTAGGAATCCTCTCATTACCAACATCCGTCATTCGCTATTATTAACAATACAGATCTGCTTTCAAGCTGCCAACAAACGTCCACACACAGGAAAACACAACGTGAGACTTCAAATATTATGCTCTCTTTTTGTAGGGATGATTGTAGCATCTTTGATGGGTTGATGGAAGAAGATGAAAAGGACAAAGCAAAACGGTAAGCCAGATATAGAGGAGCAACACACTGAAGTTATGATACTTGTATTTTGTATTGATATCAATAAAACATTCCTTTTTATAAAACATCCCATGGTATTTAAAGGCTGAAATCCCCACCTGTTAAATTAATCATTATTTGAAAGTCCTACCTATTTAAATGTAGGTACATTTTTAGCTACAGGGAATATACCATGTCTAATCCGACATTATTGTAGGCCATACACAGCAGCCACACTGCATTACCTCATTAAACATTATAGAGTGAAATATCAAAACGTTTATAGCAGTTTATTTTCAGGTTGTTTTTTCTGTTTGTCAGAATCTTGACATCTTTAATCGAATGCATAACTGTAGTTTCGATCGTAGCGTGTCCCGTAACAAGTCTGAGAAGAAGCGGAGAGACCAGTTCAATGTCCTCATCAAGGAACTCGGCACGATGTTGCCGGGCAACACCAGGAAGATGGACAAGTCCACCATCCTGCAGAAAAGCATCGACTTCCTGTGTAAACACAAAGGTCAGGGCACGGCACAGGGTGGACACTTCTTGTTTTATATTTAGTTGTTCTTATGTACACACTGTTGTTGTCTGTGCTGCTTTACTCTCATTACTACAGCTTCTTACACTTTTTACAAGACTTGCCTTGTGACTGTGTAAAGTTGACTTAATCATTATGAACAATAGTAATTTCATACTCTTAACTATTTAATTTTCTTAGGTTGAGATGCTTCACACCACTTCTCTGTTTTACCTTAATACCTTAATTGATCACTACTTGAATACTGTGATTATATTATGATGAAATAATTGTTTTCCCTTTGCATGTGTTCACGCGTGTATACTTTCTACTCCTAGCTCTGTTCATTGTTGTTCATGATGATTCATTTAGCTTCCACTGTACTGGCCCTGTTCTTTCATTGTGCGTGCTTACCTTTTGTGTAGTCTCTTTCTGGTCACGTCGCCTCATGTTTTCCTTACAAGACTTTTTCCAGAAAGACTTTGTTTTCTTCTTAACATTCCGTTTTCTTTTTCCTCCACCAGAGATTGCAGCCCAGTCAGAGTCCAGTGAGATCAGGCAAGACTGGAAGCCTCCGTTTCTTAGCAATGAGGAGTTCACCCAGCTCATGCTGGAGGTCAGATATTTAACATTTTGTTCTGTTCTCCTGTCCGTTTTTATCTCCCCGTTTATTATACTCTTAATAGAAAAGTCCTTTTACTTGTACTGCTGTAGACCAACACTTAGAGTTGTTCTTTATCTCATCTTGCATTATCAGGCTCTGGATGGGTTCTTTATAGCAATCATGACTGATGGGAACATCCTCTACGTCTCTGAGAGTGTTACCTCACTACTTGAACATCTACCGGTGAGTAACACTAACTCTTTCTTTTGCCTGGTCACATTAGTCATCCCTTCTATTGCAGACCAAGCTTTTATCCATGTTGTTGTTCAGATGTTAGGATGACCTTTGTGTGTACTGGAAAAAGGGTTCGGCCGTTCTTCTTGTTTTTGTGTGTGTTCTCATGCACGTATGTGTGTGTGCTCCTCAGACTGACTTGGTGGACCAGAACCTGTTAGACTTCCTGCCACTCGGGGAACACTCTGATGTGTACAAGGAGCTGTCCACACACCCCACCGAACAGGACAACCTTAGCTCCGATTACCAAAAGAGTCAGTATCTCCCCATGACACGCTAGATCTGGCTGCTTGTTTTAGAATGATTTAAATCAACTGTAATGTGTTTGGTGGTTCAAAGGGAATATAATTCTGTTTAATATTTACATTTATACTTCCTTGCTGTGGTTACAAGATTTTGTAAAGAATTACATCTGTGTTTAGGCCTTAACATCCAAAGAAAATTATGTAGAAACGGAATAAGAAAAACAAGTAACACATGTTCTTCCCATTAGGCGCTTTCTCACCGGAGTACTTTTCCCAGGAATAGTTCCGATAGTTCCTGGGATTTTGCATTCACACCAAAAATATCTGGAACTAGAACTTTTTTTCGGGAACCTTTTCACCCCTTTTCAGGCCTTCTAGAGAGGTGGTACTTTCCTGGGTAGGAAAAGGTTCCAATTTCTGATTGGCTGGGCGAATTGCAAACCACGCCCGTAAAACTCTGAAAAGTTTTTGTGTCACGCTTCTGGCGATTTACTGAAGCCTTCTGAGTAAATCGCCCCAAGTCTGGGGACTTCCGTCCGGGGACTTCGGGTGGCAGACAGTCGGTGTTTCTCAATGTCGAGGACGCTTCCTTGGTAGGACATGTCTTCCGAGTCAGGTCCTTCAGAAGCGAGGCAAGAATCCTTCCTAGCCTCGGAAAACGAAGAATGGTGGAACAGGCTAGCAGGTGTGCATCATATGCGAGGCCCCGCCTTAAATGGAGCGCGATTTCCGCCAAAGATTTTGGAAATGTTTCCGTGCGCAAAGCATTGTGGGGATTTTAAGAGGATACACATGTGCAGCCTCGACATTTTCCCCAAATTCCAAGGATCCTGGACATTGGAACAGTCCTTCGGCAGGACTCGATGACATAGCATCCTTGAAATAGTGGCTCTGGAGGAGCCTTCCTCTACATTGAGAAACACCCAGTATAGTTGTTTGCGGCCTGCCAGTAAACCCAAAGCAGAAGAAGTGACGTCAGGGGCTTCATTTGCGTAATCCTCCCTCAGGGACTTATTCCGGTGTGAACGCGATCTACTAGATAGTTCCGGAACTAAAAATGTCCGGGGAACTAAGTTCCGGAAACTATTCCTGGGAAAAGCACTTGGTGTGAAAGCGCCTATATAGACTGTAATGAAAGTTATTGAATGTATTTCTGGCAAAAAATTGTTTTCATAACCGTAACTAATATTGTTAGTTTATTATAAATCCTTTCCTGTCCATCTTGTATGTAAGGAACCACATTGGTAGATATAAAGTAAGAGACAGATAGTTATTAGTGCAGGAACCCAAAAAAGCACTTATTCTAAGTGTCTTTGGATAAAAACGTTAAATAGAAGTTAATCTAATGTAAATAAAGGCTGATATACTGGCTTATCATTATCCCTGTTTTGTCTTGATACCCTAACAACACCATTCACACATTATGAATCCATTAACGCTATGTTTACAACACCTTTTTGACATATTATGTTTATTCTCTCCAGCTAAGAACCACGTGGAGTTCTGCTGCCATATGCTGCGAGGGGCCATTGACCCCAAAGAACCGCCTGTGTACGAGTATGTCAAGTTCATCGGCAACTTCAAGTCACTCAACAATGGTATGTCACTCAAATAGCTTTCAGCACAGCAGGCTTTGTAAAGCTTGTTATAATTAGAAGTGAACATTGTCAAGGATTTGTCTTTGTCTGACGGAGTAAACAACATTTTCAACGGCAAACTCTTCTCTGTGGTGTGCAGTTCCCAACGTGACGAGGAATGGTCTGGCAGCGGTGTTACAGCGCTCTCTGCAGCCTGCGTTCGACGACAAGGTGTGCTTCGTAGCCACAGTTCGGCTGGCCAAACCTCAGTTCATCAAGGTAGCCTAGGGCACACTGACAAACAAAAATGAAGTCACACTCATAAATAAATCATTTAATCTAACATAATCTTTCTTCATTTTTATAAACATAGGAAATGTGTACAGTGGAGGATCCTAATGAAGAATTCACCTCGAGGCACAGTCTAGAATGGAAGTTCCTCTTCTTAGACCACAGGTAAACACACAAACACACACATACAGATTTCATTGAATTCTTATGTCGCCACTATTCTCCGTCAGAATTGAAAACTGTGACTGGTGGTCACAGTTTTCCAATGTCAAATTAGGGGGAGTCTTTTTCTGACTTATTGAGAAACTCAAATCTGACATTCCCTGTGTGATTAGCTACCTGTGTGGAAGAGAGAAATGAGCCAGGGTTTAAACTTCTCAAAAGTCTCTTGTCATTGTTCACAGTACTTTGAACAACCTAGTGCAACATTATAAGTAACTTCCAGGAGACACTGTCTAAAAAATATGCGCTGTTCCCCTCTCACTATGACGGCCAGCTTTTCACCCCGCCCTCAAATGTGGCTCTTTTTTCAGATATTCAGGTATTATAGAGTACACTACATCTTGTTTGTAGGCCTACTGTCTGTGGCTTTATATAAAAAGAAAACCAGCATGAAAACATCTTGTAACATAAGAGAGATTTGAATATACTTTTGACATTGACAAGCCTTCAACTTAAAGATAAAAATTGAATAATTAAAGTGTGTGGTGATAAAATGCTAATTAATATATTGTGCACGTTTGTGAAACAGAGTAATCTTTTAAATTCCTTTTTACTGAAGTTGTTCCTCTTTGGTTACATTTGACTGAAATGTGAAAGCACTCCGTTGGTCCAGGTCACTTTGACTTTGTAAAGCCTGCATGCAGCTTTTTGTGAAAGCGAATTATAAGGATACAATTTCTCCTTTTCAGAGCTCCACCAATCATAGGCTACCTGCCGTTCGAGGTTCTGGGAACATCAGGGTACGACTATTACCATGTGGACGACCTGGAGACATTAGCCAAGTGTCACGAACACTGTGAGGGCTCGTATTACACACTTTCAGTCACGATTTTAAAAGAAAGCATTTATCTTCTTGTTGTTTCTAACAACTCTGCTCTCATCTCTCTACTGTTCAGTGATGCAGTACGGTAAAGGGAAGTCGTGCTACTATCGTTTCCTGACTAAAGGTCAACAGTGGATCTGGCTCCAGACGCATTACTACATCACCTATCACCAGTGGAACTCTCGACCTGAGTTCATCGTCTGTACGCACACAGTAGTCAGGTACTGCAGCTCCCTTTGGCCTCATTACTGATGGTACAATTATCAGAGATAATTTTTTTCAAGATCATTTGGCATTTCAGATACACTCATTTACTGGTGACACTACATTTCGCTCATTTTCATCACATCCTTCATGCTTCTTTATTGGCTTAACCTTTTTTTTGTGCTTAAAATACAGCTATGCAGAGGTGAGGGCAGAGCAGCGCAGAGAGCTGGGCATTGAAGAGTCCAACCCAGAAGGGACTGTGAATAAGGTGAGAAATTACATCTAGAAATCTGTTTTCCTAGACACAAGCCGAATTATAAAAGGTATTACAATATATAACGTGTGAAGGAAACATTTATTCAAACTAACAACAAAACATGTTGTGTTTGAACTTTTAGATGTGTTGTTTAAGCCTAAGTAACAAAATGAAACTATCAGTAGTGTAATTTAATTTGTATTAAATGTTTGACTGAAATTCTCTTGACAATGTATTCATTAAACATTAGAAATAATATACACAGCATTTAAAGAGCATACGATTTAATATGTCAAGAGGCGTTTAAAAAAATAAACAAACTTCAAATATAAACAGTGTCACACAACAATAAGCCAAAAGCTTCCAAACTGTTAACCTTTAACTTCTGTCAGTGAGTAACTGCTGCCCATTGATGTATCTCACACTGTCTACAACTCTGATGAACTTTCTGCTATCTATATTATCTCAATCCTTTTGTTTAGTAACAACATCAAGCTGAGAACAACAGATGATCCTAAATCAAACTCCAAACAGGATAATGTTAATCCCACATACATTCAGTTATATTTGCTGGTTTAGTTAAGTTGCCATCTAAAAGTTGATAATCAGTATGTATGGGTAGAATAGCACATTTAAGCACACGAGTATTTTATCATGAATAATGCTTCGCTCTTTTACAAATCAGCCCTGTTATTATCACCTTTATGCAGTCTGAATTAGATTTTTAAAGGATTGGATGCCAAGTGTATTTTTTCTTTGTTTCTCTGCTTTAGATTCAGGACTCAGAGTCACAGCTGAATACGTCCAGCCTCAAGGAGGCTCTGGAGCGATTTGATCGCAGCCGAACGCCCTCAGAATCCTCACAAAGTTCTCAGAAGTCCTCGTCGCACGTCTCTGACAATACTTGCACCTGTAAGGACACACGTGTACATGAATAATATTATGATGTTTATACTAACTTTTCAGATCAAGTCCGAATTTGTGTTTCATCACAGCAGCTCCATTTGCAAATAAAAAGGCCAAACATGTGTACAAGAAAAGACACAATTATAATCATTAAGACAATTCATGCAAACCCTTATTGTACATTTGTTGTGGAATAAGGCTCCATATTTAATTACAACTTGATGATAATTATCTGTCTTTGATGTTCAGGGCAGGATGGGGTCAGAGGCAATGTTGTTGTCCAGCCTTAGTATAATCATATTAATCAGTCATGCCCTGACGTAAGACGAGTCAGTGACGCATCAGTTTGGGAGTTAGATGGGATGAGAAGCCCTGCGGGGAGTTGATACGATATCGTGACTCTTACTCATCAATGATTCTGTCTCTGCCGCAACAGCCTCTAAGCTACACATGGACACGGCCACACCTCCTCTGCAGTCCATGGCCTCCACCATGGTGATTACGTCACAGCGTCGCTCGTCCATCAGCAGCCAGGTGAGATCTGATTGGACAGAAACACCCAAAAATACCAAGCTAGGACTTCCTAAACTGATGACTGAACAAACTCACACATCAGTTGTCATAATTATCTTGATTATATCTATATTTGCAGTCGATGAGCTCTCAGACCACGAGCCAGAGTGTAACTCCAGGGATGATCCCTCAGCAGCAGCAGCAGCAACAACAGCAACAACAACAACAGCAGCAACAACAACAACAACAACAACAACCACAGCAACAACAACCCCAGCAGCTACAGGCAAACGTACAGGTGAGAATGGGTCTTCATTTCATGACATCATTATGTGCTGTGGTGTAAAGCTAAAACGTTTTGTTGATTAATTGCCCAGACAATCAACAATACATTCATATTTAATAGATAGAGTGTTATTTTTGGGAGACTTTTCTTTCAGCTTACCTCTCTTTCTTAAAGGTCCCATGTCATGGCCATTTCTACTGATCATAATTCCATTGTTGAGGTCTACTAGAATAGATTTATATTGTGCAATTTCCATACTATTTCCAAACTCACATTGGTTTCTCATACAGCATCTCTGTATAGTATGTGTATTCACTCTCTGTCCTAAACAGCTTGTTGGAGCTCCTGCCCCCCCCCCTCCCTATGAGCCCACTGTGCTCTGATTGGTCAGCTCGCCCACTCTGTTCTGATGAGTCCACCACCGTTACAGCGGAACATCAATGATTATGTGTTACAATGGCGTTAGCAACCAGAAGATGACGTGCGTGCGTGCGTGTGTGTGCGTGCGTGTGTGTGTGTGTGTGTGTGTGTGTGTGTGTGTGTGTGTGTGTGTGTGTGTGTGTGTGTGTGGTGTGTGTGTGTGTGTGTGTGTGTGTGTGTGTGTGTGTGTGTGTGTGTGTGTGTGTGTGTGTGTGTGTGTGTGTGTGTGTGTGTGTGTGAGGAGCTCCACGGATTGGTCCATTTTGACCAATGAGTCCATTTGGGTATGGTCACATCACTGTACCCAGGAAGAACAAGAGAAATCTCCAACGAGGCGTTCTGTGTTAGAGTTTTACTCGCTACAGGGTGTACTTTGACGGTTTGTGACTTTGCAGACCGTTTACATGCATACAAACCTTCATAACACACAAGGGGACGGGTAATAACCGGAAAAACATGACATGGGACCTTTAACTCTGCTAGTTACCAGCTTCATATCTTCAAGTGGTTGTCTTTTAATGTATCCTGTAAAAATTCAATTTTCTTACTATGCACCATGACATGGAATAATCTAAAAAAAACAAAAAACATGATAAAGGCATGTGTATGTTTTGTATATGTTGTATTTGTTCTGCCAGGTATCTTTTTTTAAGAGATTTTTTTGTATTGCTTTGGGACTTCCTGAAGTAAAAATAAAGTAAGAATCTGGGGGTTACAGGTTCTTCAATGTTAATTATTGCTTGGGCTAAAAGTACACATTTGGAGATGGTACAGGGAGTTCTTCGATTGTCATTCTCTACTTATTTCTGATTGTTAGAAATAATAAATCAATGAATGGAGTCAGACAAATCAATAATAAAAAAAATCATGAGCTGCATCTCCACTGTGGACTTTGTGATGTTCATTAGCCAGTGTTTCGTAATGAAAATAAAACATCAGTTGCTGCACAGCTGAATTAAGTGACCTTTTCTCTCCACCCACAGCCGGTGATGGAGTTCTCGGCGCAGGTGAATGCCATGCAGCATCTTAAAGATCAGCTGGAACAGAGGACAAGACTAATCCAAGCTAACATCCAGCGGCAGCAGGACGAGCTGAGGCACATCCAGGACCAGCTGCAGAGGGTGCAGGGACAGGGCATACAGGTAGGATTTACACACATGTAGAATGTACCTCAAGTTGTTACATTTTGGTCAACTATGCTCATTTTATATGTATTATATGTAGTCTATAGTTAGATATCTTAAATCTGAGGGCAGTTTTATATTCAAAATATATTTTCTTTCTGCTTGTTTGAAAAAGATTAGCACGAAAGCCCTTCTGTTTGTAAAGATCAGTAGGTGTATGGTGCTTTGTCTCTTCCTGCTGTATCTGACCTAGATCAGGAGGAGAATCATGCATTATGAATAACTTTTGTTCTATTCAGAGGAAACAGCAGCTTCACTACCTGCGTTTGTACCCTGATAGGATCATTTCCGCTCATTAACTAATTGTATTCTACTCTAGCAATAGGCAAATGTTTAGCATTGCCAAGCAAATGTTCAGTAATAAGCAGTGAAACCTGGACAAACTGGCATTGTGTGTTTCCATCCTGACAGATGTTGCTGCAGCAGCCGGGGGGAGCGATGAACGTGCAGCTCCCTCAGACGGGGTCGGTCCAACAAACGGCTAATTTGACCAACCAGGTCCAGCAAACAACAATTAACCCCGTCCATTCAGGAACTCAGCAGCTCACCATCCAGCAGCAGGCCCCGCCCCCCCAGCAGAACCTACAGCAGCAGCAGCAGACCAATGCCCTCACACAGGTGGGATACACACACACACACACACACACACACACACACACACACACACACACACACATTTCAAACAGAAGGTCAGCCATTATAAGGGAAAAGATCCAGCAATATTTATGTTGACAATATAATTCATTCATGTTTGCACTTCACAAACTGCACAAATACATTAGTGCTCTGTGGAGTCGGCAGGAAGAGCCTCAGGGCACGCTGTTAGTGTTAAATCACCTGAGAGACTTCAAAAAACTCAACGCTGAACTGAAAAACACACAAAGCATCATTTCTACCTTGTTTAGACATATCCTCATATCCTCTGCTATTGAGTAATGCTGATCTTAATTATCTTGTTGTTTATTATTAGAGTCCATTTTATTCCGCGAGGGCAACAAGAGCAACACATTTCAGGACATGTTCATATATTATGTATCAAAGGAAAGCATACTATAACCAAAGAGTAGCTGTGTGGTTTTTTTCTCCAAGAGTTTAAGTTTTAAAACAACCTCCCAGTCACTGACACTTTATCATTTAGACACTTCAATCTATTTTTATCTTTATTTATGGCTTCATAATCTGTTGGGTCTATTTAATGTATTTTCAAATGAGACATGCATGAAAAATTACATTTAATGTAAAAACTACTGGAAGAAAGAAGCAGAATTACCTTAAAAAGCACGCTAACAGTTTACTCTGTTTTTAAAGGAATTCATATCATGTCCCTCCCTCCTTCCCCACATTACCACCCTCCAGCCCCAGCGTCAGCCCCAACAACCTCCGCAGGCTCAGCCCCAGACCCAGGGCTCCGTCTCTGCTCCGCTCTACAACACCATGATGATCTCTCAGCCCGGGCAGCCCAACATGCTGCAGATCAGCACCAGCCTGCCGCAGACCAACACACAGCAAGGCACAACGGTGGCTACCTTCACACAGGACCGACAGATCCGGTAAGGAGGACGACACGATGACAGTATTCATAATATTATGTTAACCCCGCCAGAGTCATTCCTCTATGGCAGGGGTGTCCAAACTATTTTCACTAAGGGCCACATACAGAAAAACATACGAAGGGCTGGGCCGCTCACAAGAGGTGAGGCAATTGCCTCATAAGTTAAGTTATAAGTCAGCAAAATCAATCAAACGTAGGTAAACTATTCTTGATAATTGAACATATGAACAAAAACGCCTACATCACAGCTCTCCATAGGGTTTAATTGATTTAGTTTGAAGCTCCTTCCTAAGAACAGAACCTCAGATTGCAATATGCAAATATGTTGCTGGCCTTTTTGTTATCAACTAAGATTTGTTAGAAAATGTTTTCAACTTTAATTGACTGACTTTATTTAAACATTGGGCTTATTAACACATGAATACTATTCTGTAATATATGTTTACATATATATTTAGGAAATACAATATATGCTAAACTAGTGAGAGAATCGCTGACAAGGGGGCTACAACTACAAGATGAACATATTTGACCGTGATTTAATTGTAATACACGTTTCAAAATGATGCTGAAGTAACAACATACTGATACCGGTTAGTAAAAACCATGAATTAATGCTTTGACAAGTCTGCAGACAGACGGCAGGCGAACAACCTTTTAAAATACATGTTTTCTAAATGGAGATCGGCTAAGCTAACGCAGTGTATGCTCCGACCGTCCATACTCACAACAACGGCCTATACAGACATAAATAAACCAGCGACTGTATTCGCCATGACACAGGCAGTCTGTGGTTTGTACTTGTTTAACTTTTGTCAAGTTTCTGAACAGATATGAAGAGCTGTGAGCTCTGAGTGCTAAGAGCTAACGGCTGTGTTGTTTTTCTGGGGCTCTCATTGAAGATGACGTCACGGCTCCGCCTACACTGCGTTACTATAGATACTACCCCAGTTCCTAAACTGTAATGGAAGCGCAGCATTAAAGTGAGCCGGGCCTAACAAGGCCTAACAAGGCCTAACAAAACCGTACTAAGTCGAGCGAGGCCAGCGGTGGAAATGCGCCATGAGACAAGCACAAGCTTCATGTGTGGGCCATATTCCATTATACTTTAGAATTTGCTGAGGGCCAATAGAAAACTGACCACAGGCCACATTTGGCCCCCGGGCCATAGTTTGGACACCCCTGCTCTATGGCATCAACCAAAATAAGTGGGAAAATGTGCAGATCTGATATGGGCAAAAATCCAATAATGTGTATCTCAAAACGTATGGATTGTTTGTGTGTATGCTGTGTGTGTAGCATGAAAAGGAGGATTATACACCCCTGTGTTGTTAAGTGACAAATACACAAATCTTCTAGCCTTGTTAAAGTACTGCTACTTACCAAACCTGTCTGAAGCCAAGCTATTTCAAGATTTGAATAGTAGACATCCAGTATTGTACTTGGTTACTGTTATGACTTTTATTCTCCATTTCCCGCTCTCTAGCTTCCCAGCAGGGCAGCAGCTGGTGACCAAGCTGGTGACAGCGCCAATGGCATGTGGAGCAGTGATGGTGCCCACCTCCATGTTCATGGGGCAGGTGGTCACTGCCTACAACCCCTTTGGTGGTCAACAGGTATGGACAAAGCCCTTTGAGTCCCAGAGCAACTCATTAACTGTATCTAAGACCAGAAGAAAGACTGCTTTAAATAGAGAATGATCAAATCGATGATGTCTGATGCGCATAACCACCCAGCTGCTCAGTGCTGACAGAGTGGTAATAGTGTGAAAGTGTTAAATAAGATACTACAATTATACATAAAATCTGGCTTTTATCAGCAAATGTCCCTCCTTTATAAATTAATTAATTAAAGATGTTTTGTATTTGATGCTTTTATTTAGTGATGAAAAGAAGATCATGAAAGTTAAGACTACATGAAGAAAGTAGCAATGTTTTAAATGTAACACCTGGGCCTGAAAACTGCACACAAAGACATTTAAATGCATTTTGTATTGTCATTAAAGCCTAAAGAAGACTTAAGGACTAATGGATTATTATATTTGTTGTCAATAAAACAGGTGCAGTGCATTATAATTTATAGTAGACTCCCTTTTGACTTAAGGGAGTTTACATTTCCAAAGTATACTGAAAAGGAGCATCCTTAGAGAATCCATTGAGAGATATTATAAGGAGTTGTAGGAATGATGCTAATACAAAAATATGTGGGATCTCATGAAGCAGTACATTTTATACAGTATTCTAATGAGATTCACTTTATCCCTTTTATTGTTCTGTGATAACTCCTGTCTCTTCCCAGCAGGGGGGCCAGACACAGACCCTGACCCTGCAACCAGCCCAGCCCCCCCAAGGTCAGCCCGACGGCCAGAACCAGACCACTGTAGTGGCTCAGAGCGGCCAGCAGGGGCAGCAGCAACAACAGCAATTCCTACAGGTATCAGAAGAGGGCAGCAAATACCATCAATTCAAATATACTGTACATCTTGACAACATATCAAGTTATCAATATGATTCATTTTGGTGAAAAGTGTCTTTACACTGCAAGTGAGTCAAATAGTCAAACTAATGTTTGCAGAGGCTTATCATTTTAGGTCTCTCAACTTGTTGGGAGAAGAGAACGAGGCTTTTAATTTGATTGTGTAATTTCATTAGAGCAACCTTGTCAATCACAATTATTCTCAATGTATATATATATTCAGTTTTTATCAGCAAAATCACTTCAGTAGAAATTGCAAGTGGAGTTTTGAAGTAACAAATTAAAAAGACGGGATAATTAATAATAAATAAACAACATTTTTGGGGGCATAGGGGTCTGGGAAATTAGTAAGTTGTGTGTGAATGTGTGTATTGGTATAAGTGTGTATAATTACCTACAGAAATAGGATGACATGGACGCATGTATGATGTTTTCTAATCCTTGCTCTTGCTTCTCTCAGGGCACTCGTCTTCTCCACAGTAACCAGTCCACTCAGCTGATTCTGCAGGCAGCTTTCCCACTCCAACAACAGGGCACTTTCACACAGGCAACTCACCAACAACAACAGCAACCACAGCAACCACAGCAACCACAGCAACAACAACAACAACAACAACAGCAACAACAACAGCAGCAGCAACGGCAGCAACAACAGCAGCAGCAGCAACAATCCCACCACCAGAGGCACCAGCAGCAGCTGAAGCCCCAGCCCCAGAAACCACAGAAAGCCCCGACGTCACACAGGACTGAGAGTGTCAGCAGCCAGCCGCAGTGAGGTCTGGAGGGGAAAACATTGGGATTTAAAACTCTGAGGGAGTTGCTGCATACATTTATATTGCTCACCTGGCTGTTGCAAACCCTTTCTTCCAAAAAATGTGTCGTCCCATCTTCCTCCACCTGAAAGAAATGAATCATAGGAAAGAGGAGAGCCCGTGAGTCCTCAAGGAACTCACCATAGATTGTCACCATGGCAACAGGATTGATTAAAATCCACAAATTGTGAAGGAAGACCCAGTCTCCTTGGAAACCTGACAAAAATACAGAGAACACCTTATCGCCACGGTAACAACAGACTGTTTTGAACTGACCTTGTAGAGATTTACTGTATGATAAAAAGAAAAACTTGTAAATATCATATATAGCCTAACAGAAAAACAGAAATGTAGTATTTTATATGATTGCATGGAAAGAAAAACGGTGTAAACTTTTATTAATCGCTTTTGAAAATTGAATTTTTACTTTGTTCAAGTGTTTTCTGGTCAAAGATGGAGCAATGACATGCTCTGTCAATCTTCTCCCACACCCTTCTCTGAAAAAAAAAAACACGGTTCGGAAATAACAAGGCTTTATAGTTCTGCAGTTTGGTTGGGCTTGGGTTTTCTTGTGGAAGTTGTGTTTTCAAAAATAGCTCTTTTTAACTTTGTAAGTACGAATTATCTTTGGCAAAAAAAAAACAAGATCACAGTTTGACTGAATTCTTTGCAGAATGATCACTGTACGTGTAACGGGTTTAGTGATTCCAAGTGCCAATAACATAGTCAGTAGTGTTTTTTTTGTTTTTAAAGCAGACTATTCAAAGGCGTATATATATATTTCCAACAAGATATTACCCCTATTAAAGTTAATGCGTGTGTATATAGTAGGGATTATTTTTTAACAGTCAGAGCCCTATAAGTAACAAACGGTATATCCTCAACCTCCTGAAACTTTAGCACTTGATGTGGTTGTGTACAGTAAATCACTGTCCAGACTTAGTTGTTTATCTGTGGTGTGATTCTGTGAGCTAGTGTGTGCTTTTGGGAATACAATCTTGGTGTGCATGAGTGGGCATGAGAGTGTCTGTGGTCAGTGGGTGTGTATGAGTGTGTGTCGTGATTCGTGAATGTGTTTGAGTGTGTGGGTGTGTGTGTGTCCTGTGCGCTTGTTGCCCCTTGTGTCTTACAATATTTGACTTAGTAAGGGTGAAGTTGCTGGATGGTACTTGTATTCTCAGGAATGTGGAAAGTTTTTTGCTTCTGCCTCAGTCTGGAACCAGACATGGAGGGACTAGACGTTGATGCTGCAAAGACCAGAGGAAGAAGTGTCAGTGTGAAAAGTGCGACTGGTGGCTGAGTTAAATTCGTCCCAGATCTCATTTCCTTATACAAATACAATTTAAAGGAAAAGTCTTAAAGACAGTAAGACTATCCTGTTATCTCAGTATCTACAATTCTGACTTAACACTTTAAATGTAAGAATAATGAATTACTTTTCTGCTGAAAAAATATGATGGGGTAGGATTATAGAAAAATGATTTTCAGCTATTCATCCAGATTTGAATAGATTGACTTCATAGTACCAGCAAACCTGCATTTCTTCTCACTGTCTCGTGGTCTTCGGTATCATCAATGTTTCTCCTTCTATCTCTTCCTAGGCCTCAGAAACCCTCATGCAGTTCAGTTCACTCCTCTGGTAAAACAATGCTGGGCCCCATTCCATTTCTGATACATGGATGGAGGCGGGCTCAGCCCCTCAACTACAGTTGTAAGCCATATCAAACAGAAAAGCCTTGGATTGGAGGAAGTGTAATGGTTGACAGTGGAGCATTTAGAATTTGTTGTTTTGACTGTAGTTAAGACTGTGTGTGTGCGCTTGTGTGAGTATAGCGTCTCCTAATTCTTGTATCACTCGGGGGTCAGTATTGGTTTCGCCTTGCGATAGCCAATCAGTTCTTGCGTTGCAGTATAAAGAAATAATTGTAATATTCAAGAAACTTCCTCTCCGGTTGGGCCCAGCATTCTGCAAGCCCGTGTGTGGGATAGCTCAACTTGAATACATGTTTGTGTGAAAGAAAGTTAGTATGCATGTTACCTGTCATTGTAACCCGTTATATTTTCATATGGAAACAGATGTGTGACTGGGAGAAAACAATGGATGTTAGGCAATGCAGATCACCTGTCAGGCTGTGAAGAAGATGGGCAGTGTTATTGTTTTACAATGAGAGACCGCTAAACCTACACTTCTAACAACAACTACACATCCGACAGGTTTCAAACGGTAACACTCTGAGATTATGTTTTTAATGTAGATTGACTATTTGTGTGACAAAGCAGGGAAAATGCTTCTCTTTACTTTGTCTACAAATAATGACTAGAAGAAAGAGATTGAAAGGGTCTTACTATTTGAACCATGTCTTCCACCTTTCACATAACAGATATAAATCCTCTGTAGACTAGTTTGTGTTCAAGGCATCACTCTAAAGGGTAATGCTGAAATATTTATAGTTTGTGTCACTAATACCCAGCCCAAAGAATGTAAAGGTGTTTTAAAGAGACTAATGGATGTTTGATAATGGAGAACCTTTGGCAGGCTGAGTGATGAAGGAAAATGACTGTTGTGAAAGAAAATCAAGTTTCTCACTACAATGATCTACACATTTAAAAAAGAAAAACAATCTTATTGACCGGTTTTGCATTCTCAAACAACCTTATGAATGTTTCACAATTTCAATCTTTCAGTTTTTGCAACAATAATGTTCTGTTTGGAAAAAGAGTTTAAAAGGTTTTGGAAGATGAGGTGTAGGATATTGGAAATGCTCCTCACAGATACACAGATCACCTTTACACTACACAATCTGGTCCAAAAGAGTCCTAGTTCTAGTATTAAACTGTACACCTTCACAAAGCGAAGAACACCAGTATTCAGTGTAAAACGGTGCTATGCTTACCTGTACTGTATGTATGTGTATCCCTTCTTCTGCTCTTGAACTGTGCTCCTTTTATCTACCTAAAAGTCAAATGTAATAATAATCTAAATTTTGAAGCAAAATGTTTGCTATTATTATAACCCCCCCCCCCCCTACCCTATTGGTCAATTTGAAAATAAAAACAGTTGCAAATATTATACGTGACACACACATGTCTGTTGCAATTTTGTTACTCGTGTTAGTCTGTTATTAGCAACCTTGGAGCTAGACATTAGTGGCGCCAAGGAAATACAATGTCTTAGTTTGGTCCAGACTCAAATATTTCAACAACTATTGCAAGAATTACAAGGAATGTTTGTAAAGTGGTTCATGGTTCCCAGAGGAAGAATCTTAGTGCCTTTGGTGAATGTCACTTTTTGCTAATCAAATATCTGCCATTCTTATGACACCCCCTTAGCCCTAGCTGTACTTAGTGTTGTTAAGTGCCAACAAACAAATGTTGCATGATAACATGCTCAACTCATGATGTAAATGATTGTGCTTGCTAAACATCAGCATGTTAGCAGGCTAATGTTAGCATGCTAAGGGTATCATTGAGCTCAGAGCATCACAATGCCCACAGCAGCCTTACGGAGCTGCTTACTCATCAATTTTGAAAATGATGAAGGACACTGTTTAAGTTTCTACCATCACAGGTACTTTCTTTATTACAAGTAATCCAACTGTATCAAAACCAGCATACTGAAACTATCCTGGCTCTCGACAATAACAGCGTCACAATCAAATGCATTCAGTATTTCACAAAAAGAACCTAAAGGCACATCTCTATTATATTTACATTGCATACATGTTTGACATAAACCCAGTCAAAAGAGCAAACAGTCCTAAACGCCTGGCCACAGACTAAACTAAAGCTAACCCTATAATACATACAGCAATACACCAGTTAGTCACAGTATTCAAAGCTACAACGCACAGGTGGGAGTCAGTGTTTCTGTGACTTATGGTAACTTTATGTTGTTTTTTAGGAGTTATCGCTTGCATGCCACCTCACTATGGCTCATTTGTTATATTGTAAAAGAGGCTTCAGGTACTATAAGGCATCGTTTGTCTTTCAAGCCCCATTAAAACCAGTTTTAAGTAAGGCTTGCAGACAACAACTCATGTTAATATAGTGACTCTAACAGTAAATGAATAAGAGTTTGGGAAAATACACTATTTGCTTTCTTGCAGAGGGCTGGATTATAACAATTAAGTTTGCAGGTGGAGCCAGCAGCCAGTTAGTGTGTAGAGCATTAAGACTGATGACATGAGGAAACGGCTAACCTTGCTCTTGTACATATACAAGAAGTAGACATGTGCATAAGCACAACTCTTTAAAAAATTGAAATAAGGTTGCCAGCAGGTTCTCCTGGAAACCACTGCTCCCTACAAGAGTGCTGTATTTCTTTATATTACCCAAACTGACAAAAATATTCTTGTAAAAACGTAGGGACAAAATAAAGTCCACCGATCACTTCACTAACTGTGCTTATCTTTTCCTCAGTCAAAGGTCTCTGTTTTCCTCAAAGCATTTAAAGATGCAATCTAAGGCTGAATGTGAGCCAAACTCCTGCCGATGGGGATATTGTTTGGATCTGATGGCGGTTAATGCTGGAGTCTGCTTTATATAGACGTGCACCGGAAATACCTCCCGCAGAGATCAATACAGCAATGGGAGATTAGATAGAGGACAATACTGAGAGACCAAAGCAAGGTCATATATACAGTGTGTGGTGTGTGTTGTGTGTGCGTGTGTAATGCAGGAAGTCCAGTGTTTGACAGTTAGTTTGAGTGTGTTGTTATTAGTTTACATACAGAGTGCATTTGGCTCTTGTGAGGTGACAATGATCAGGGAGGTGGGGGGTTGTAAGTTTGATAGCAGTGTTTATGTGCATACGTGTGTGTTTGTTTGTGTCTGTGTCAGACATAGCCCATGAAGACGTCAGCCGTGCTTTGCAGTAGAGGTTGGGTGGGAGCTGTGGTGCTGCAGACGGAGCTCAGCCGCCGCGTTGGCGCCTTCTCCTGCGCGGGATGACCTGGAGCGTTGCTCAGTCTCAGGTACACCTAAGAAACAACACACATTTCAGGCTTATGGCGGCTCTGACGATACTACTTTTTTACAACAACAAAAACATTTGGTTTAATGAGAAATGTCGAATGACGAAGGTCCATAAATAGCAAAATGATGATCAATCTCAATCTTTCTCCTGGTTTTTAATTCAGGCTTTCTGTTTTTTCTTTTTATCCTTAAACCAACATTGAGATATCCCCAATGTTTTGAAAGATACAAAATGAAATGTCTGTGACTTATGGTTCCTTTTACTCACATTCCTGGTATTTTCTGAGAGCAGCAGCTCAGTCCTCTCCACCAGTTTCCTGAAGGAAGGCCTCTTCAAAGGATCGTGGCTCCAACAAGACAACATCATGTCATACCTGCAGAGGTGAGGCTGACATTAGTTTCTACATTCAAGAACTAAAATAATCCAGCAAAGCGAAAACAAAGATTTTACATTTTATGTTTCTATTCATACAATGGATAAATCATTGTGCGTTTATTATTGTCTTTAAAATGTTTTGAATCGATTAGCTGATTGTCAGAAATTAATTCGCTGCTATTTTGACTTATAATTTCATTAAGTCATTTTGAAGGCATGATGGTTTGGTTTCAGCTCCTCCAAATTGAGGATTAGCCACTTTTCTTCGATTATAATGCCTATGTAAAATACATTTTTTTTTATTTTTGGACTGTTGCTTGAACAAAACGATACATTTGATAATGCCACATTGCTCCTTTCTCAATGTTTTCTAGCATTTCAAAGGTAAACTATTACATTGAAATAATGATTGATCATTAGTTGATGCACAGTTTATAACACTCACTCTCACTGACACATGCTTTCTTGTTTCTGCAAACACACACACTTACATCTCAATGGGAGCAAACTCAGGCCTGCTCATCCTTTTTCCATCTTGAATCATCTTGTAAAATACTGAGCCCACCTGCATCCCAGGGTACGGACTGTTACCTGTAACACAAACAGTATGCACACACTTTAAATAACATGGTTTCATTCACGCCTCAGATTTCCATGACAAGAAATAATAGATTCATACTATGCTACTGGTTTCTGGAGCAACATTGTTACACAGATAATATGATTGTGTGTGTTTCACCCGGTTAAGTGATGTTGCTGCTCGGGAGCATCATTAGAGCCTGTAATAGGGCCCCAGTCAGCTCAAATGGATGGTAATAACGGCCTAGACATTATGAAACAGATGCAACAGTGCAGCTCTAACTGGAAATGTTACCCAGAGAGAAGATTTCCCAGAGGAGGATGCCGTAGGACCACACGTCACTCTCATAGGTGTAGACGCAGTCGAAGAGGCTTTCAGGAGACATCCACTTCACCGGCAGACGAGCCTGCAGGAGGGAGCACCATGATTACAAAAGCAGTATGTTTACCTGTTTTTCAATCCAAGAAACATTTAGCTTTTCTCTGGAATTGTTCATCTCCTTTTAACTTTTAGAGATAGATGCCTTAAGAAAACATCAATTAAAAAGAAAGAAATTGCAGGAGAAAAGAAGAAAGAAAGGAGTGAAGGAAAGGAAGGGAGGCAGAAGAAGATTCAGAGATAAAGAGTGACAGACTCACATTGCCCCGGAGCACATAGCTGGCATCAGTCGTGATGTCTCGTGCCAACCCAAAGTCACAGATCTTAGCCACCCTGCCGTGAGTCAGCAAAATGTTTCTGGCTGCAAGATCCCTGTGGACACACTACACAAACAAACAAACACATAAACACACACACACACACACACACACACACACTGAAATTAGTTTTAACATTGTAACAGGTTTCTGCGGTGAATGACTGACACACAGCACACATTTACTAATGAGCCGCGGCGATTAAAACTTGTCACAAACCTCAGAAACACAAATGGCAAATTGACAATCTTTACGCAAAGCATAGTACAGAGTCAGGGCAATTACAGTCTAGAAGAATAATGAACAAACAGTGCCTAATTCAAATAAAGCAACACAATTATGATGAGAGAAGCTGAATCAGGAGAACAAGATTTTTTATACAGAATCTAAAGTATTTGAGTAGGAGCTTATTTACAGGTGTGACAAAGCTTTGTGTTTGGAGCACATGATGTAATGTAAATGCACCTTCAGATTGTGCATTATTGTAGCTGACAGCAGTGCACAAAGCAGGTTGGCCCTGAGCCAAAGTGATTTTTAAACTAGCAGCAGCAGTTTTAAATCTCTTCTGTAACGACCCTGTTAATAAGCACATGGGCTGTAACAGCCTTACGTTCTTGGAAGTAATGTACTCCATTCCCTTGGCCACTTGGTAGGAAAAGCTGAGGAGATCTTCGCCGTCCAGAGACAGCTCCTCGATATCCGCTAGATAAAGATCACACTGTCAGACTTCCACAGGCACATAGAGTGATATTGTATGTGTGATAAGAAGTGTAGAGTGAGAGACTTCCTACCTGACTGGGAAGACCTTTCTTTCTCCGAGGGACGCATGGTCACATATTCTGTACCAATCACCTCTCCACTGCACACAAACACACACACACAAATATTACATGTTGACACAGAAACCATTAAGCATTTGCAATCACAATTTTAATACCAACACACACACACACACACACACACACACACACACACACACACACACACACACACACACACACACACACACACACACACACACCACACACACACACACACACACACACACACACACACACACACCTTGCTTTAGGCTCTGTTTGGTTCGAGACGTTGCGATAGTAACCATCACCAACTTGGGAGTTGAGGAAGGGCTCTCTTTTTCTGCGCAGGAAGTTAAGGAGGTCGCCATAGCAACAGTACTCTGTGATCACCAAAATCGGGCCTGGCAAAGATAAAAAAAGAAGCCTCACTCGCTGATTTTAAAACCATAAGACATCACATAACAATGAACAAAGAACTTAAGCAAAGAGCCAACAATAAGTGTGTCATGTGACAGGTTTGAACAATGTGTGTGTGTTGAAAAACCTTTATCATTATGCTGGTGTTGAAACATATTGGGAAATACGTGTCAATGGGATTTT